AGTAGTGAATTTTCTTTTTCTTTAACTTATTATGTTTTATATCCTATGTCCAAGACAATCAAATGATTGGACAGACAGGTTCCATGGTTTATCACATGTTAAGAGCTTTTAAAGCTTTGGGTAGATGTCTGAATGATTTCTGTGTACTAATGCATTTAGCACAGCATTTTTATACATAGCAACAGAAATATAACAATAAGAAAGAACACCAATACCCAGTAACATCGAAGACATTTAGCAATTGAGGGGTTTTTTTTGCCATGCAAGATTTCCAGTACAAGACATTATCTTGGCACATCTACTGCTCCAAGCAGCATTATGTTCTCTTTTTATTTGATAACTGTAGTTATTAGCTGCTTTTCAATTTAGAATGACATCTAAAGGACACATTTATAGTGTCCAGAGATTCGAGCCTTTTCATCTGGCCTTTACTGCACTTTTACAAGGTCTGTGACCCTTTTGAGGAAGATTTACAAACCATTTAGAACCACAGATAATCTGCCACAGAAACATGCATTTGTGTGTTCACCATCAGTTTTCCTGCAATGCTGACCTGATGCTGCAGGCATGGAGACTGTGAGCAGGCGTTGGAAGAGATTCAGGAATCTGGTGCCTTTTGCAGCATTTCTCGTGGAAATATCTTATAAATAATATTACCTGCTCTGAGCTGCAGACTTGAGTGAAGTTCTAATACATTATTAGTCTCTTACTCAGCACTAAGTAGCAAATACTGAACTTTTCCTTTGTTTCTGCACAACAACAGCATAGTTGCCATTATTGTTAACCCAGGCCTTGAACAACCCAGTGTGGAAATCTCACTTTTGATGATCTACATATTTGGTTTGGCAAAGATTTTATGCTCTTTCTAATGCAAGCCTCCTCATTCATCTGGGCTTAAGTCTGGCACTAGGAGCGCACTAGCTTGTGGCAAATGCATTTGTCTGTAAATTGCACACCTTCACGTGTGTGCGCTTGCTAACTAAGCCTGTCCCTTTAGCATGTTTTTCAACATGTAGGGTAGTGCCATAAGCTTCCATGGATGTCCTTAAAAGTCTGAAACACACACTATGAGACCATGTCCCGATTTTCTCTACCAGAGTTGTCAGCAGGAGTGAAAATGGAGAAGCCTGCTGGATGCAGTTATCAAATAGAAATCACTCAGTGCTTTATGTCAATGAAGAAAAGAAAACAACTCGTAGAGAGAAACTCTACTGTAATCAAACATTAAGTCAAACGCATGCAACAAAATAATCAGCATTACATTAAAGATCCATGCAGTATTGTTGTGGGTGGCTATAGCTCAGTCAGTAGAGTGGATCATCTACTAATCAGACAGATTGAATGTTAGATCCCCAGCTACTCCACCATGCATGTCAAAGTGTTACCGGATAAGATGGAGAACTCTGTGTTGCCCTGATGCGTCTGCTGGTGCATGTTTGTCTGGGAGTGTTAATCAAGGTGCTTAGGTGGGGGGGGAAAGCACATTTGTGTGCAACTGGGTGGATGAGGATTATAGCAAAAAGTGCTTCGAGTGCTCACTTAGAGTAGAAAAGTGTTATTTAAGTACTGGTCCATTCACTATTTACTAATGAACAGCAGCGTTGTAAGGAGACAGAAGCTGACTAGAGCTCAGCATCATCCTGCTAACACTGGGACCAGCTGAGAACACACTCTGTGTGTGTGTGTGTGTGTGTGTGTGTGTGTGTGTGTGTGTGTGTGTGTGTGTGTGTGTGTGTGTGTGTGTGTGTGTGTGTGTGTTGCAGGGTAATTGGTGTCAGCTTTAATTAGCGGCTCCGTGCCTGACACCATATAGAGCTGCTGAACTGGTGACACTATAAAACCAACATTTATACATTAACTCTGAACATGTGGAAGCTGAAGAAGGATGGATGTTATGCAGAGTTCAGGGTGGAGTGGGTGGAGATGGGGGTGATATGTGACAAAAGGATGGCAGAAAGAGTGAAAGAAAGGGTTATGCGATGATAGTGACACCTGCTATGACGTGACACGTGAGGCTGAGCTGCAGGTATAAAGATTTTTACTGGGAGTGTCCGGGACGGACGGGATTAGAAACAAATAGATCAGAAATATGTCGGAGTGTGTCAGAGCAGGCAAGGCTGAGATGGTTTGGACATGTGCAGATGAGGAACGGTGGAGAGGAGTATGGAGCTGCCAGGCAGGAGCAAAAGAGGAACACCATGAATGTAAAAGATTCATGAATGCAATGAAGGAGGACATGCAGAAGGTTGGTGTGACAGAGGAGGATGCTGGGGATAGGCTGAGATGGCGGCAGATAATTTAGATCCCTAAAGGAAGTAGACAAAAAAAGATTTAAGGGGGAATGCAAGTGACGCTTGCATTTTTAGTATTTTAGTTTATGTGGAACTGTCCTTGAATTTTCAGATTTAAATAAAGACAATTCCACTATAAACAAAACCCATGGTCATGAAATTTGGTAGTAATAGAAAAATATATACAATTAAAATGAGATTATCATTACAGGTAAAAATACGTTTTTAATCTTACCTGCCACAATATATGGACCATGTCAAATAGAGACTTCTGCTTCCATCTTGTGGCCGTTGGGGGAAATGCTCCAGCTCAAGACATGAAAATGAGAATTCTGCATCAAGATGATGGGAGAAGTAGGATTGTTTGCAAACGGCTACAGTCATTCAACAGTTTATACACATTTGAACATTACTGCACATAATTCATGACACACATGCGTGCTTCTGTTTTTGCTGACAAATAGCACCCTGCTTCAACAGTGTTGAGTTCTGGGCTGTGGGGAGGCCTCACCATGGCTCGCTGTCTTTCATTGTGTGTGCGTTTTAATCCAAGTATGCTTTTACTATTTGGGATCATTATGCTGAAAAACAAAGCCGCTGCCAATCAGACATTTGCTCCAGTGTCACAAAACAATAAACATCTGGCCAATAGAAAGTGGACCCGTGACAGTCACAGCTACAGTTGTGGGCCACACACCCACTTCTAACTGGGCGAGTATAATGCTGTCTCTTTTGTCTTGTACATGCAGTACAGTCTATGCTCTGATTGGCTGGATTATCTTCTGACTCAGTGCATTCCCATGATGCACGAGTATTTCTTGTTCACTCACCTGTCTGTGCTGAATCATACTTGTTATTAATCTCTGTCTCTCTTCCACAGCATGTCTTCCTGTCTTCCTTCTCTCACCCCAACAGGTCACAGCAGATGGCCCCGCCCCTCCCTGAGCCTGGTTCTGCTGGAGGTTTCTTCCTGTTAAAAGGGAGTTTTTCCTTCCCACTGTCGCCAAAGTGCTTGCTCATAGGGGGTCATGAGATTGTTGGGTTTTTCCCTGTATGTATTATTGTAGGGTCTACCTTACAATATGAAGCGCTTTGAGGCGACTGTTGTTGTGATTTGGTGCTGTGTAAATAACATTGAATTTGGAGTACAGAGCATTTTATCTGGATCTTTGCATTTCCACAAGCTTTTAAAATACAGTGCAAAAACTACAGAGCACTCTCCACAGAACACTTATTGGTTTAATGAGTAAACAAGACAACTTTCAGCACTTTTGTAGTGTTTATTTACAGCACAGCACATTCATGTACAAATCTGTTTAGCTTAGAATTTCACAGGACAGACCCAATTGAAGCCTGGAGAGCTCATCGCTTCCATGTCCAAGCTGGAAATGATCCGTGTCCACATCAGGAAGGACTGAACCCTGAGGAGACCAGTCTGTTTTCTAAAAGGAAGGTTTTCTATGTGACGTGGGTCTTTAAATCATATTGTTTTACACTAACACAAATTTTTGAAAAAATCTCAGTAATATTTGTAACATTATACAGAAATACTACTACTGCTGATAATAACCATGAAAAACAGCAAGAAGTGAGGCCATCGTTCTCTGCGCATGGCACTAAATACAAATACACACAGGAGGCTCAGTGAAATGCAAACATGCCAACAGAGATTTGATCGCTGGCAACTGCACATCGCTTATGTGTGTGCTTTATTTAGCCACCACCCTCCTGCTGAGGTCATGAGTCCAGGCTGCTCTGAGGGTGCAACACATTTCCTGTCAGTCACTCTGCATGCTCCAACTTTTCTGAAATATTTTGCTGGCATCAAATTAAAAATCTTAAATATTAATAAAATGAGCGGAAATAGAAACCAGAGATCATATGTTTGAGTAATCTTTATCTGAGAGCTAAGGTGAAATAAATAAAGCTTGCAGAGTCATACAGTGGCACTCATACTCAAACCCCATTGGCTCACAGGGGGCCTAAGAGGAAGGACCACAGCACGTGTCTTCAGATGCTTCTTGTCTGATGGCTCACACGGAAACTCTGTTTGAATCCAGATATATAAACTACACTGCATTACTTCTAGAGAGCCAGCTGCAAGCGTACAAGGACTTTTATTAGTCATATTAATAAGAGAGCAGGAACAATAATGGCTGCATTTAGAAATAATTTAGAAGCATAGCACCAGCATTTTATATCTTTCCTTTATTATGCAAGCAGTTCTTTAAATTGCATTTAACTAAATAACAATAAAAAAGCTGTTCTGTAGCTTTTTCTCATATGACAGTCTCTCGTGTTTATGCCCACTGTTTGTGATCCAGAACTACAAAACAGGCGTTCTGTCATCTTAAGCCAAAAATGAACTTTCAGTTTGAATCAGTGTTGGAAACGTTTGTGTACAGGTCTGCGTGTACGTATCTGTGCTGGTCTTTGACAGCTTTTACAGCTCCTATTCCCAGAATGTGAATTCTGCTCAAACACACTGAGGCGGAGGTCTCTCTTTTGGTATCAAATGGGAGCAAACAGTGTGTCATGCTGCCGCTACACTCTGTCAGTCATTACAACAGCAAACCAAATAAAATGCAACATCAAGCTACAGTAGTTACTTTAGGAGGTGTTGAGGAGGAGGAGGGTAAAGTGAAGTTGGCTTTGCAGGTTCTTAAAAAGTTCCAACAGTTGAAATAAGAGACTGACTGTGCAACAGTATCTGATTATATACTTACAGTATATATTTAAGAGGGTTTGTGTGGTAATGTGACAGCACTAAGTTGTCCTCGGTGAGATTGCTGGTGCGTGTAATGGGTCAGTAGATGAACTCTCCAGGGACTTCCTGCAGAGCACTGAAGGGCTCCTCGAACTTGAAGCGTTTGGAAATGGCTTTCTGCTCAGCAGTCAGGGCCGCCTCCTCCACGCTGGAGGCGGAGGACTGACGGCACTGACCCAGGGTGTAGGCTGCCATGACTATCAGCTCCTCTGTCAGCGGGCCATGAACTTCCCCTGCATCCTCTTCCTCAGCTGAGCTTGTACTTGTGGGAGGTTCGGGACTGCTGGTGGAGCTGCTGGTGGAGCTGGGCTCTTCCTCCACAGAGAGGATCTCCTCCACTGTCTGGTTGTCCTGAGGCTCAGTGGGCTGAAGCCACGGATGTGTGAGACAGTGCTCGGCTGTGGCCCGCTCCCTGGATACAAACACAGACCCACACGTGAAACAGTTATCCATGTCATACTCTCCAAAAGTTGATTCTGTTCATCTGGACGTAGCGTTTTGTGGGAGAAATGTTTCGTCACTCATCCAGGTGACTTCTTCAGTCTCAGCTGACTGCAGGTTTCCCCAAATCTTATAAACAGGACATTTGCATAATGACTGGGAAAAAAAAAAGAAAAAGGTCCACCCCTAAAGATCGGGTCCCCCGACACAAACAGAGTATTGTTGTTTACGCTGTTAAGTGCCAGGATTTATACATCAGGTAAACCAAACAACCTCTGGTGAAGCGGATGGCACAACACAGAAGAGCCACCTCGTCAGGCCAGGACTCTGCAGTATATTTACACCTACAGGCCAGTGGACACTCTTTCAAGGATGAGGATGTAACATCCTGAAAAGGGAGGAACGCTGGTTTGAGCGCGGAGTCAAGGAGGCCATTTACGTGAAAAGGGAAAGACCATCTCTGAATGGAGGAGGGGGCCTAAGGGTACATCTGTCACCATCTTACAATGCTGTGATTGCAGCCATTCCCCAACTCTGTGAATGGGACTCATGGCCATTGATCAGTGGGTTTTGATCAATGGTTGTTGATCAATGGTCATGAGAATTTGCATAATTATGATTAAGGAACTGACCTCCCAGCCCATTGTTCCTTCAGTGGGCTGGTTTCAGTCATTATGCAAATGTACTGTTTATAAGATTGAAACCTGCAGTCAGCTGAGACTGAAGACGTCACCTGGATGAGTGACGAAACATTTCTCCAACAAACGCTACGTCCAGATGAACAGAATCAACTTTTGGAGATTTACTTACCTGGATGATTGAGCGTGCATCAAGACATGTCATACTCTGTTTCAGCAGCAGTCAGCCATTTATCTTAAACTGGTCATAGCAGGTCAAATGTTATAAAAAATGCTGATTAAGCTCCAAAGATAAGAGAAATACACAAAGGCAAAAATGATACCACATTCTGAGGCCACATTAGAGTGAACTGTGTTGTTTCTGTGACTGACTGTGGGTGTTTGCGGAGCAGCATTTGGATGAAGGACAGAGCAGCTGGGTCCAGCTGCTGAAGCTCCTCATCACTGTAGCTCACACTGAGCTGGGAAATGTTGAGAAACGTCTCCTGCTTGTCTTCGCCCAGGAATGGAGAGATTCCTGTGAGCATCACATATGCCAGCACACCAACACTCCTAAACACACAAAGCAAAATATTCAGGCTTCGAGTGCGATCAAACGCAACACTTAAAACAAGGAATACTGTTTCTATGACAACAAAGCTAGAAAGGTGAACAATCAAAGTTCATATCTGGGATCTCGGCTTCAGTTTTGTTGGTACTCTCGTAGTTAACAGTCCAACGATACGACGTACATGCAGATAAGCAGCAAAAACTGATGGACGGCATTCACAAACACTGATGTGTGTGTCTCAGTGTTTGTATGATTCAAGCCTTTTGAGACTTTGTAAAAGATTCTGATGTTTTTTGTGATGAACATATTTATTAGGGGTGCAACGATATTTGTATCGATATTGAACCGTTCGATACGGTGCTTTCGGTTCGGTACGCATATGTATCGAACAATACAACATTTTTAATTTATTTTATCAACTTTCCTTCTGACGATGCTGTCTGTGTTGAGCGCTCAGTGGATCTGCGCTCGACAGTGCAGCCTAGGCGGAGCAGTCGATTGCAGATTCACTGAGCGCAGGGCAAGCTAGCGAGACAGAAGTTAAGCTCTCCTTTTAACATGGACCTCCCCACCCTCATTCAGATCTGGCGTTTGGAATTATTTTGGTTTTCATGTGACGTATGACCCTGAAGGTAAGCGCGTCATGAACTAAAGTAAAACAGCATGTTGGATGTGCCATGCAATGCTCAATTACATGGGTGGGAACTAGTGCGTTAGTGCAGTTAGCTTGTTAACGTGTTGACGCCGTCCAGCCCCACGCACGGGGCGATCAGGGGTAGCTCGTTAACGGAGATTTGCCGTGTTGTGGCGTTAACGTCATTTCAACGAGATTTACGCTGACAGCACTAGTGGGAACACAACGAATATGACTGCACATTTACTCCGACATCATCCTAGTGCAAAGACAAGTGGAAGCAGACAAAAACAACAAGCACGCATGCTACAAACTTGACCCGAGTCATTTAGACAGCCGTTAGCACAGGATTCTCCTTATGGAGACCTGATATGTTTAATATGCTGCTGAGAATACAGCCCAGAAGAAGCGGATAGTATAGCTTTTATTTTGGAAAGAGACATTTCTCTGTAATAAACTCTCTTTTCCAAAGATGAGTGATTCCTCAATCAGATACAGGGCTCGCAATATCGCTAGCCCGACGTCCTGGAGCTAGCGATCTTTCCAGTCGGGCTACCAAAATCTATCTCTGCCCGTCGGCCTATCGCAGGAAGGAAAAATATATGTCAATGCTTTTACATTCTTTCGGAAATGTAGCTGGGTAATTATGTCATTGGCATCGGTGAGCCACTGTCAATATGTGACATATTGAAATCCCGTTTGAATTTGCGCTTGTTTTTTGCTTTCACTTTGCAATCGTGCGAACTGTGTATAGAGAGCGACAGCACTGATCTGTGAGTGATGATAATTTGCGCACCAATTCCTCTGACATCGTCTTATTAATCGTTAGCTTACTATGCAAACATGACAAGTGAAATCTCCCGCAGCTTAAACATGTGAGAGGTTGATCGCGCAGAGAATCGCTGAGCTTATGTGAGTGTGCGTGTAAAAGTAGCAGGATTTATATTTCAGTTCTGCTGAGCCAAATAAGACAGGTCAGGGTGAAGAAGTGACAGCCAAAGAAAAGCTTACCACAAAACTGAGAAGTTATGACAAATCAGACTATAGGGCAAAAAGAAAGTGCAGCTTTATGGTTTCATGGACAAAATAATTTCTGTGGCTGCAATATGACGAGCTAAATAACCAGGGCTGCACATAAGTGGTCCGCAGGTGCGCATTCGCTGTCAAAATAAAAAACACGCACAAGATAAGAAGTTGCAACGTGTGTTTGCATACATAAGATTTTCAGGAGGAGGACAGACATTTGTTTAGAACTCTTAAAGATGTCGAAGAAGCTCCTTTAAGCAATTACTTTGGTGTTCCTCCACCTCCAAAGAAATGTCAGGAGTACAAACCACAAAAGAAGCACGTATTCTCGGAAAAGTAGTTGCAGGAGGTGAGCTGGCTTCAAACAAATGATGAACGCACAGAGATGTGGTGCAGAATGTGCCGTGAAAATTTAATAAATGACAAATTAAAAAGGCATGAATATTTTTTTTGTATCGAAAAAATATCGAACCGTGACACCAAAGTATCGAACCGAACCGAACCGTGAATTTTGTGTATCGTTGCACCCCTAATATTTATATGTATTTTAAGACTGCTGAAGACAAGCACATTGCCTGAAAATCACCCATACTGCCAGTAGGGGGCAACAAAGTTAAAAGTTCTACTCAAATGAAGCTCATACTGGAAAGAAAGCTGAGGAAATTGTATTGAGATGTCTGTTTGTGTGTGACTGCTGCGATAGGTAATTAGCAAAATTCATCAAATACAAGTTTTCAAAACCTTTTGTTCCACATGAAATTTATCTCAGTATACCACTATAGGACTTTCCTTACCACATGTCTGTTGCTGTGCTTATTGGCTCATAATTCAGAATCTCAGGAGCTGTGAAGACGAACAGACAGTTGTTGTTTAGAATCACCCCAGTGTTCGATTCTTGTAAGGTGGTAGCAGCAAGGCTGAGCAACAACTCACCAACATACTCTGGGGTTCCCATAATCTCTCTTAGTTCTTGGTGGCTGCTGACCATCCTGGACAGACCAAAGTCCACAATCTTAATGTCACCCAGAGGAGAAGTGCTCGTCAGCAGGATGTTCTGAGGCTGACAGGACAGCACACGTGTTATCGTTAGACAGCTTTTTAAACTGTGTTAACTTGTGTGTGTTTCATGGAGTCCACTGGCTGACCTTCAAAGCATTTTACTACAGAGTGAGAACTGAGTAGCACTTCAAGCACTTCCTATCACATGCACAGTTATATTACCTAATAATTATGTGTTTGAACTGTGTTGTGGGATAACCCAGGCAAACCTTAGCCTGTGCAAATGTTGCCCATCACTTTCACACAGGAAATACTCAATTTGTGCTTTAAACTGATTTCACTGGGACAGATGTCATTCAAAATACAGATGTTTCCCTCTGCCTCCACGTGAGATAGAAGTTCAGTTGTTGTTAGACTCATATAGACTTTTTGTGTCATGGTGATGTTTACACAAAGAATGTATCAGGGATTCGTTTACAAGATTGAAAATGTATCAACTACACAAGTGACACAAAGTAAAGGAGACGGTGGAGAGTCACGAGTGCGTCCACAAACCTTTAGGTCAAGATGAACTACATTGTTCTGGTGGAGGAAGGCCACTCCCTCCAGGATCTGTCTCATGAGCCTCTTCACATCTTCCTCACTGAAGGCCTCATCCTCTTGGTCTGACACACACTGATTGAAAATTTCTCCTCCAGCCGCACTGCAACAGAAGACACATGACGTGGGACAGATCAGTTGCAAATCTGTTGACTGGCCCTCTGTAATGTGTCAGTGTCAAAGTATCTTACACCATTCAGGCCTGCAGACCCTCAAACATTTCAATGTGTAATTCTGGGGTTGGCTGTAGGAGGGAACTGCAGCAACCCAAACTACAGACTGTATGCTTGTTTCATCCATAATTTGACCGAAATGAATATGAAGCTTTTCCTACGTGATTACTTTGTATGGTGAATCCCACAAGACCCAGCAGAAATAACCCCCTCTCTAACCTGTCTGTGTTCTGACTTGTTGGAGGTGGAGGCAGAAATAGCACATCAAATCCAAATATAGCAAACTAATTATGAGCTTGAATGGGGCCATTTACACTGTTGGTGATAACTTGTTATTTTATTCAGTCGCACACAAATAAAAAGGGTTGTAATCAAAATACAAACAGTCAAACTTACTGAACCTCTACATCTAACTTAAATTTCTTCTGATCGGATGTAAACTCAATAAACTCGGTTCAAAATATAAAGTGAGGGCAGTCAGGAATAGACAACGGGTCCCCTTAGGGTGCTGGTGAATTAGGCTTTATCTCAGAGGAAGGCAGAGAGGAGAAGGAAGAGGTTTGTGTGACTGCGTTTTTGGTTTGCAGGTTGGGAAGAAAAGTCTGGGTTAGAACTGTTGAGTCCTAATCAAAGCCAAATGTCACAGTTCCTGACAGGAAACCCATTCTGAACACTGACCAAGGTGTGAGGCACTACTGAAGCCCAGCTACAGTATAACTACGCACTTCACACATTGAGATCCAGGACCTGAGTGAAGGGTTAAGTCAAACATTTCCAGAAGAGCAATTCTGGTTTTTCATTTGTAAATTCCCAAACTTCAACCTGACCAACAGATTCCAGTCTCCAAGACCAGTCTACTTTTCCTGGACCATTTTTAAAAAAAAAACACTGGATATCATAAAGCTTCAAGTTTAAAAGGTCTGCTCATGACACTGAAAAACATGTTTTTTATTTATGAATGCTACAAATCTCACCCCATTAACACTGTTTCTAAGGTTGTGATACATTGTTGCCAGCCCTGACCTCTCGTCCTCTCTAAGTGTGTGCCAAGAGTGCTGGCAGTGGTCTCTCTGTCATTTTTACAATAAACAGTATAAAAGATGGACATATGGGTATTTAGGCACTTGTGCATTGGCTTTTTTTTTTTTTTTTTAAATAAATCAGCCAGGTAGCTAGGTCCATCAGCTACTGTGTATTATTTTCACACTGAGACATGCATACAGACAGACAGACGAGCACAAATACACCGTCCATGCTTGGCAATGGTGGGAAAACATCTAGAGGTGTGGTCATACCAAATGTGTTTTTGTCTCAAGAACAGTACATAAGCTAGTTTTGTTTTTTACCCTTTTCTCTCCATCATGGCATCATGCTGAGTGCAACAGAAAAATGGCATCAGCTTAAAGAAAGAATGAATAAATCTTACACTTCCTAAGAAAACAGCATGCTTTGAAGCCAGACTTGTGCTTTCCAGTGGAGCACCATCAGCATTGTCTGCCCATCTGCAAATATACAGACAGGGGAGGTGGTGGCTCATCCATTTACTGAAATCAACAGCAGACGGAGTTTCAAGTTTCAGCCCATCAAAGCAGCTGCACCATCACTTTCAAAGCCAGTAAACAGTATCTGCAGATGGTAAACGGACTGGTTCATAAGTAGCACTTTTCTACTCTACCTGGGCACTCAAAGCACTTATGCAACTTGTCCTCATTCACACAGCGAATGGTTAGAAAAGGCACTTGCTGGGTACGGTTAGGGTTAGTAAGTAAGTGCTTTCGTTTTAACATTTGCACACGCTGATACTCTGACAGATGCATCGGAGGGCAATTTGGTGTTACCATGACTGGAACAGCCAGGTATCAAACCACCAACTTTCCAATTAGTTTATGATCTACTACACCTGAGCTACAGCAATCCCATGCAGAGAAGTTCCCTTTAACTTCAACTGCAGGATTTCACTGACAGCAGCTCCTTTGCATAACAGAAGGTGAACTAAGAAGTTGCAAACTCACTTTTGTACAGAATTCTGAGGTAGGTGATCAGGCAGGTGTCTGGCACTCAGTAGGTGTGTCTCTGGGGTTTGTAAGGTGATTCTCTGTATATTTTTCATTTCTCTTTTATGTAGTTAACGGCCTTTTTCATAATGATTACATGGAAAAATGGTTGCATAATGAATGAATGTTTGTGCTACAGACCATTTCAAGATGTGATACTAAAAACTGAGACAAAAAAATAATTTAGCAAAGGGGCACACCATGGGTATTAAAAATGTGACAAATCTATACAAAAAATAACGTCAGTGACACTATTGTTGTTGTTGTTTCATCTAGTGTGGGGAAAATACATATGTGTCAGATGTTTAAAGATTCTTTGATGTAATACAAAGGAACAAAAGAACCAAAACAACATTTTTAGGTTGTCTGAGGTAGTGCTGTGCTTCTGCTGATCTGGCTGCATATTTCATTGCTATATATTTCAAGGGGCCATCACAGTGTTTGAGGCGGTGGTGTTGTTTGACCTGCTGCCCTCTGATCAGCGCCTCAGGTCAATCAGATCCCACACCTCCAGACTCCTTGTTTATATACATATTTCTGCTGTTTGTTATTTATTCCTACTGTCAATACGATTTATATTTTATTCCCACAGTTGGTGTGGAGCACCCACAATGTCACTGTTCATTTAAAATGACAATAAAGCCCTATTCAGTTTTATTCTATCTAGCTGCTGGTAGACTTTTCTCAGCTTAAATCTGGAAATTTAGAAGAAACATAAGACTTTGTAGACACAAATAATGATGTTTTCCTGTTTCATTAACTGTTTACTACAGTTACAAATGGCCAGTCCTGATAAAGTTTGCTTCCTAGCGCCATTATTATTTTATTAGCCATAGCTGCTAGCTCCTACCCTTGTGTCACGTCACTATTGGGTAATTTCTAATACGTAAAGGGCTAATGTTAACTGTGTGTTGGCTGATATTAATCATGATTAATAATTGTGATCAACTGTTTAATACTATAATCTTGTTAAAGTTGTGCGTCATATTTATACTGTTGCAAATTAATGTGTAATCCAAAAGTCATTCTTAGTATTGAATGAGTATCGCATTTTTTGGTTTATGAATCAAACATGGATAACGCAGAGCCTACATAATGGGCACGCAGTGGAGAAACTCTAATATCCGTTTCAGCTCCACAACCACAAGGACATATATAAGATTTTTAATTATTTAATTAGATATTTTAATTATTTCTCCCCCAGTTTGAATCACAAAACCCCACAGATTTCACTTAAGTGACAAAGGCCAATAGCCCACTGTTTTATGAAGGCAGTGATGCAGCTTAAACATCAGTGTCTTCATAAATAACTTTGTGCAGAAAGCAGTGTGTGACTGGAGAAAGTGCCAGAAAAAAATAGAGCACCGGAAATGAAAAATTAACGATTAATAACTAGGCCAAAGCAGAGGGAATGTTTAGTGTTAATCTGTTGGCCACACACCTGGTTAACAACTGCAGGTGCAATCAAAAGTTTTAGAGAAACCTCATTTCTCAGAGGATCAGACAGATATGAATGCAGTGTGGTGCCACACACACTGCTCTGCTGTGAGAAGTCTGATACGCCAGACTTAATACATTGCAGGTGTATCCAGGTCATTTGACCCTGGAGGACAATGAAGAAGAGTAACACTTTCTACTAAAAGTATCATTCACCCAATTAGACTCCAACATGCATACAGTGTATTTATCCATACCATAGCACTTTTATCTGACACACACACACACACACACACACACACACACACACACACACACACACGGGGCAACTCAGGATTTAGTATCAGTATTATCCCATAATGGGCCCATGAGAATGGAAAGTTCTTTGAGTGATCTAACAGTTTTCCACTTTATGTACAAAGATGCAGTTAGTTCACTTCAATAATCACCTGCAGCGAAAGCAAGTGGCTCGAAAGTGAACACATGCAGGGGAGAGCGAGGGAGCCAGTGATGTCCTAAGAAAAATAATACAGTGTAAGAGGAGGTTTTACAGGTGTTTGTTAGGGGTGCAACGATACACAAAATTCACGGTTCGGTTCGGTTCGATACTTTGGTGTCACGGTTCGATATTTTTTCGATACAAAAAAAAATGTTCATGCCTTTTTAATTTGTCATTTATTAAAATTATAAATATATATTTTAACACAAAAGTACAGTTTTTAAATTTAACCCTAACCCTTGTGCGTGTTGTTTTTTAGCTCGTCATATTGCAGCCACAGAAATTATTTTGTCCATGAAACCATAAAGCTGCACTTTCTTTTTGCCTTATAGTCTGATTTGTCATAACTTCTCCGTTTTGTGGTAAGCTTTTCTTTGGCTGTCACTTCTTCACCCTGACCTGTCTTATTTGACTCAGCAGAACTAAAATATATATCTGTCTGTGAAGGTTCTCAATCATCCAGGTCATCGCAGTGAAATATATATCCTGCCGCACTCACATAAGCTCAGCGATTCTCTGCGCGATCAACCTCTCACATGTTTAAGCTGCGGGAGATTTCACTTGTCATGTTTGCATAGTAAGCTAACGATTAATAAGACGATGTCAGAGGAATTGGTGCACAAATTATCATCACTCACAGATCAGTGCTGTCGCTCTCTATACACAGTTCGCACGATTGCAAAGTGAAAGCAAAAAAACAAACGCAAATTCAAACACGATTTCAATATGTCACATATTGACAGTGGCTCACCCAATGACATAATTACCCAGCTACATTTCTGAAAGAATGCAAAAGCATTGACATTATTGACATTTTTCCTTCCTACAATAGCCCGACAGGCAGGGGAGAGATAGCCCCGGGACGTCGGGCTAGCGATATTGCGAGCCCTGTATCTGATTGAGGAATCACTCATCTTTGGAAAAGAGAGTTTATTACAGA